CAGAACTTAAAAACAAAATTATACATACTATTCCACAATTCAAATTTGGTCTTGCAGACATACTTAGTTTCTTTGGCATATCACTGCATTCTCAGATTAAGTGCCAACCCCTTGAACAAGAGGGCTTTGTTGACAAATATGAAGCATTCATGCATTGTTGCCGTTTAATGTCTAATTCCGTGCAATGACCACTATCTACTAATGGTCTCGATGAAACTGACGTTGACTTTTAAGGTGCTTTACATGTCGTTCCCAACTTCGATGATCATATACGTAAATTCAACCTCTCGTCATGTTTTAGGGTATTTGTCAAGAAGAAACCAGATATTTGTATTTGTAACTGTTTATTGTTTTGATTTTAAAGATTTAAGGGGGAAAACTTGATCTTAGATGGGCTTAGAAATCCATATTTTAGATTTTCTTATAATAAGAGCTTCATTTACGGTAAAAGCAGTTAAATACTCTGTAGACAGTTTACATACGGCATGAACATTTGATATAATGTGTATACACCAGACAGACGGAAAGAACATTTGACATACAGTAAAGACACTTAATAACCGGCACATACACTCAACATACCCTATTTATACGTGATATACGGTTTACAAACTACACATACGGTATGGAGACTTGGAATACTTGGCACTTAACTTGTGGTGTTACAAATGACAAACGGTATATACATTAAATATACTATATGGACACTTGACATATGGTATAGACACTCAACGTAGGCTTATAACACGACATACGGAAAACACATTTGACATAAATACTTGATATATTTAAGATACATTTTATATACGATAAAGACACTTGATATGCATGCCGACATTTCATATACGGCATAGCCGCTTGATATGAAATAGAGTAACTTGACAGCCGGCATAGACACTTGACATTCGTTATATACATTTAAAATATGATAAACTCAATTGAAATGTTGTATAAACGTTTAAATACGGTTATAAGTTAATTCGACATACAGAAGAAACGCTATATATATGGTATAGAAATTTGATATATTGTATAGGCATATTGCAATTTGATATTGACACATGACAAACGGTTATATACACTTGATATACAATGTAGACACTTAACGCAAGCTATGGACAATAGCAATACGGTGTGGACAGTTTACATATAATTATACACTCGTTTTTGTTTGTAAAACACGTTTAACTCATTGAATGACAATTGAACCACGCTATGAACACTTGATGAAGCCAATGATATTTGGTTTAGATACTTAGGATTCGTAAAGGAAACTTGATATACAGTATGGAACTTGACATACTTTACGGCCACATAACATACTGCACGGACTGTTGACTCACCGTATATACTATACAAAATCCGCCGTTGCAAATTCACTCTTGGTCAAAATCTCGTTATCGGGAGTAGAACACAACCGGAAAAAAATACAGATCAGACGACTGATATCTAAAGATCTAAGAACTTGAAAGCATGTCGCTAGAGATTTGAAAAACCGACACATCGTTTCGTCAACCAATTCGTGATGTTGAACTTTAATTATGTACTGTCGATTGTAGTTGTTCTTTCTCACAATTCTTAGAAGTAATGTATTAACTGAGATATTTTTACCCATACGCAATAATTGGAATTTGACAATTGGACGGTTGAAATCATCACAGTGTCATATATTTTAGTTTTAAGTCGTGGATATGTATGAATATCGAGGAATGATATAGATATGAAGCAGATCTTTGACTTTCGGTAGAATCTTTTATCTCAAGTTCACTAGTATCAATGAGATGTAAGCACTCATTGAAATGGGGGTTATTGAGTGACAGAACATAATCAATATATCTCAACGAGAAATTTAAGAACTTTGTAAGATGCTTTTTCCTTATGTCTTTAATAAGGTTCTGTATGAATTCTGCTTCATAGGAGTACAAAAACAAGTCAGCTTCAAGTAGTGCTTTACATTTGGTACCCATTTAAATACCGACTGTCTGCTGAAATATCAATCCAACAAACTAAATAACTATATTGTCGAAAGAAACACAAGCATTTCGATAATATCATCTTCGCTGTATTTGTTTTTATAGTCAATGTGGTTCTTTACAAAGTACAAATGCAAGATTTATCATGACCTAAAACAAGGAACTCCAATCTACGTTTCCAATTTTGTAGAAAAAGCTCTGTTTTATAAGATGACGTAGTCGATATTATACCAGGAAGGTTCCTGATCAATCTGACTAACTTTGATAACAATCTGTAAACGTGTAAAACAGTATCATGGGATCATCTAAGTGTGAAGTTGAGATGAACGTTCAAGGTCGTTTAGTATGACATGCGAGACTTATGATACTTTTAAATATTTCCCTGTTTCATTATATTCATTGTTTTTCAAGAATTTTAAATAAGTAAACACTTAAAACATGAATTATAGAAATATTATCGAAAATAATTTTGAGATACCAGACATTCTAGTATATACTATGCAAGCTGTAATAGAAATTATGTAAAAATTTAAGCTTATATGTAAAATAACTTTGTACATTTGACTACAATAATTTATACAATTATTCCAATATACATTCTTAACTTAACGACAGATGGGAAAAACAATTCTGTAGTTCCACTTTGGTTCATAAAGAAGCAAAAGAAGAAACATATTTTGTTTTAGGAAGACTAACCGTACCTTAATATCCAGTCTTTGAAAATGACATGATAAAAATGATGAATTGTTGTTGTTGAGAGCTGATTTAATTTTCTTTTCTGAATATCAAATAGGTACCATACATGTAGCTTGTCAAATTCTCAAGTTTTGTATATGGTTGTGAGGAGTTCTACAACTTAATGTGTTTACTTTGAGTCTTAAACAATTTTAACACTGTGTTATAAATCTGAACAAGCAACCAACAAATTGCTGAAAACTGCATCTTTTTAAAAAAAAATAAGGCCAATTTATCGTATTTATAAAATTGAAAAAGAATATTATTTAACATGAACAAAACTTATATCTTCTATTAAGTTATCTTTTCGGACGCATGGAATTATTAAACGTGATGTTTTCAATTTTTTACATCACTGGATCGATACCTCTGCTGGTGGAATATCAGTCCCCGAGGGTATCATCAGCTCAGTAGTCAGTACTTCGGTACTGACATGATTTATAACAAACTTTTCTAAAATTGTCCGTTTATAAATTTTGAAATTATAAAGAAACTAAGGTTTCAACTCCCTCAGGCAAAGTTGACCTTAGATGAATTTGACTATTTACTTTAGGTATTTTTGTAATATAGCTCTTCAACTGTTTCGGTACTTATACATCCCTCGGATTTCAAATGTTTGGCATTGAGTCCCTGATGAAGGTAAATCGAGAAAAGCGCTTCAGACGCATGGAATTATTAAACGTGTTGTTTTCAATTTTTTACATCACTGGGTCGATAACTCTGCTGGTGGACTACAAGTCCCCGGGGGTATCATCAGCTCAGTAGTCAGTACTTCGGAACTGACATGATTTATAACAAACTTTTCTAAAACTGTCCGTTTATAAATTTTGAAATTATAAAGAAACTAAGGTTTCAAATCCCTCAGGCAAAGTTGACCTTAGATGAATTTAGGTATTTGTTTTAGGTATTTTTGTAATATAGCTCTTCAACTGTTTCGGTACTTATACATCCCTCGGATTTCAAATGTTTGGCATTTGGTGTTCCTGGTGAAGGTAAATCCAGAAAAGCGCTTCGGACGCATGGAATTATTAAACGTGTTGTTTTCAATTTTTTATGTTTGTTTAGAAGCATTATTTTTTTTAAATTTTTGATGATTGACGCCAAATAATAAACTTATAAATTTACAATTGTGTATCATGACTGACTCAACAGCAATGTACAGTGTTAAATAACTTATGTCATTTTATTATGGATCATTTCAATTGATACAAATTGAATCTCGAGATATATCATTTGATCTATATAATTCTCAAAATCAATTATGTTCCATAAACTATTAGATGTTAAACCTTCAGGGGAGAAACAACTTCAGGGGAAGAAGTTCATACCTGTTTTTTCGACAAATCTTCAGTATATCGCTTTTCAATTCGAAGATGACGTGATATTTAACCATTTCAGCTCTGAAAACCCTGGATTTGAGAATTAGAATAAATAACTTTGTAGCATAGTGTTCATTGTAGAGAATCTTTTAACGTTGAAAAAAAATCAAGGATTCATTGGTTATTTTTATTTTTTATTGAAGGCATTATTAATAAGGAAACAGAATAAATTATTAAAAACATTTTTTCAGTAGTTTTTGCTCGATGTTTTCCCTGTTGGGCTTGTTTATTTTGTGCATTGTTTTTGTTTTCAGTTTGGCAAATCTCAAGACAATATTGTATAGTTTAATATTGTGAAATATTACAGAAAAAGATGCAACATGTATCATTACATTAACATTTATCAATTTCAAGATTTGGGGATAATTAAAGGAAGCTTGATAAACTAAGGATGATGTTTTACTTTATCAATTAGATTATTTGTATAAATTTTCAATGAAAACTAAAGAAAACATTATAGTATATCACCAAAGTTCCATCACCTTAATTTTTGTTAGTTCGCATCTTTCTCTGAACTGTGATAAATTATATGGAACTTTGTTTACTGTTAACCATTTCTATAAGATATTTTATCGAACTCTGCTGTGGACCTTTTATCTAGTTTCAAAGTGTACATGTACATTAAATAAAATAATTATGAACTGTTGTCTATGTTTAAACATTTTTAAAATTTTACAGTTTAATTGATAAATATACCCCAGGCCTGTTCTATTTCAGAAGTTAACTCGCCCCTGTTTGTACACACGAATTTGATTTTTTTTTTTACATCATAGTTTTGTATTTCCACCACATTTAGTTTGAAGAATTTAAAATAACCTAACAAAATATTGCGTAGGTGTTTTAGGGACGTTTAAATTAAATAGAAACAAAAGAAGACTTTATGGAAAACTACATTTCGCACTTTACACTCAACAGGCTAACAAGATGGCAGGTAACACTACATTTAATTTATATCTTTTTACTAATCCTTAATAGTGTGTGATCATTATTTTAACTTATATTTTGGATAGCTTTTAATGTAGACATTTATCATGAAAATAGGAACTCTACACCAACATATCTTATACACAAAATTTAGATAAACAAACTCATAGGTCATTAAACTAGTACATGATTTTCTTTTTTCACCAATTCTGTAATGTATTTATTTTCAAAATCTAAGGTATTTATTAATTCAATTTCAACGCGTACTATGATTACTGACAATGTTAAAACTTGTAAAGTATTACCGTTTAATAGAGAAATATACTGCCGTTCTATTAACATTTTAATTCGTCCCTGTTTTTTTTTTGTATTTCATCCACATTATATTTGTGAAAATTAAAATATAAATAACAAAGCATTGCGCAGGTGACACAATCGAGAATGGGATTGGGACTACGATCATCGGGACATGTCAGTGACCATCTCTGACAAGTTATTGTTAATGGTTAACCAAATAATGATTGCGTCCGTACATTTTCTGTTTAGGAAATAAAGATATAAAATAAAAGCCCCGCATTAGAATTTCCTGAGTTTGTTCTAGTCTAATAAAAAAAAATATTCACAAGTGGATGTAGATTTAGCAGTTTAAGAAGGGTTTCTTCACTCAAGGTAAAAGTAAAATGTTTTGAAAATACGGAAATTGATGACCAAAATACACCATCTCATGTTCATCGTTAGCAAATACGGTGGCTGTTGTGTTATATTTACATATTAACCATTGATTTTCATTTTCACTCAAAACTACTAGTCTAATAACACAATTTGGAAATGTTTTATATCCACTCAGATTTGAATATGTCTGAAAAGATGTAGATAAATGTTGTTGTTATTTAAATAAAAACCTTTTTAAGTAAATAGTCTTCCAAAAATGTACCCGATTCAAGTACGCACGACACTTACTACCTACTGATTATATCGATCTGGTTACATTTTGAGTATATTTGATCCACCCATATGTTTAACTTGGTCGTCTGTATAGATACATGTATTTACAACATTTGAACAAATTACAGTTGCTCGTTATGTTTATTATCTCAAATTTGAAAACCAGATAAATTCAAAGGCTCTTACTTAGCTAGTGTATACGTAACATTACTTAGGCATTTAAACATGTTAAAAGTTACATCATTATCATATGATTATTCAATTCTCATATGTATATGTTGTGTACAAGTTATCATTTTGTACAAAAAAATTGTACAAATTATAATTTGTATTTTGACTTTGTACAATTGTAATTTGTACAAAAAGTGCTTGTACAAATTACAATTTGTACAAAATTTGACTAAATTTCACTTATAACTTGTACAAAAATTTATACTATGTATTTTGTTATAAAAAAGCATTGATACACACTATAGAATTTTCATTTAATGACCACTCAATAAACCTTCTTTACAAAATGCAAAAATAGTTTTGTATCATTTATTTGAGCATGTGAGTGAATAATGGCATTGGGAATTGCACAACACCTTTTGCTTTTTGCATTTACATTTAAAAGTGGTGCATCCTCCTTTGCATTTACATGAAATGTTTTTGAAAGCGAAAGTTGAAGCTCAGAAACCGTTGTGGCGACTAAGATGTGTCTTTAACATCTTCAATTTGTTTTCTCCACAAATATCCTGATAAAATTCTTACAGCTGTTTCAATGTGATACCCAAGTTCTCCAAATTCAATAATTACACATAGTAAGATATTTCGAGGATCAGTTGGGGCACGATCATACTGAGGAATTGGTATAATGAAATTATCCCCCAATGCAAGTTCTGATTATTTCTTTTTCGTTTTCTTGGTTAGATATTCGGCTATTAGAATTGTCACTGGGGCCAATTTTTGTTATTCTATCAGAATTAACTGGCATGCATGTATCAATTACATTTCTTGTCTCCATCTGGGTACTTTTGTATTTTGTAAATAGGGTTTATTGTGTGGTCATTGAATAAAAATTCTATAGTGTGTATCAATGCCTTTTTATAACAAAATCCATACTATAAAATAGTGTACTAGTTATAAGTGAATTTGTGTCAAATTTTGTATAAATTGTAATTTGTACAAGCACTTTTTGTACAAAGTCAAAATACAAATTATAATTTGTTCAATTTTTTTGTACAAATTATAACTTGTACAAAATGATAACTTGTACACAATATATATAACAAACAATAGTATATAGTGTGAAGAACATCATCGTTAACCTTGTTTTATACAAATGCATTACAGTGTATATATTTTTTATTATGTTTCATCTTTTTTTCGTGTAAAATGTGATTACTATAACAGTTCTATGATATTTGTTATTCCCTGTGTTCATTTTATTTTTTTTTTATTACAGAAAATATAACACCAAACTTATCAATAGCACTGTATCGGTATATGTGTCAAAACATAGTAGGAACAGAAGGTTATGTTAAACGAATCAGATTAATGAACGCTGTCAGGGACGATATGGGAAGTAACAAGATTATGACAAAAATAACAAGTGGAAGCTTTGGGGAAGGACTTGAGATGCGCGGTAGTGATTTAGATTTAATGTATGTAATTAATACTTGCGAGGTTTACGACGTTATTAAACCCCGCTTTGATCCATATACAACATTTTTTTCAATGGAAACAGAAGATGTAAAACCTGGGTTTACTCGGTTGAAACATGAATATACATTTTGCAGAGGGCAGTATTTTGAAATGTTTGAAGAACATAATGGTGAATATTATATTTCGAGTGCATTATGTAAACAAAATTTCGTGTGTGATAAAGGACAAATAATCCATGGACCGTGTATATCCGACAAAAATGGAGTTTATGACGGTGCTTTTTCTTTACATTGCAAAACGTGGATATCGCCTGCAGTACAGTGGATAACACGATCAAGTAACTCCTGGCCGAGTCATAATATCAAACAAAGTATTATAAAACACGGTGTACTTTTTGTACCACTCGGAGTTAAGGAATCACCAACAGAAGATCTCGAGTGGCGAGTATCTTTTTCAGTTGGTGAAAAACTTCTTATAAATAGCTTTACACACACTCAATTACTGTGCTATGCTCTCTTAAAAATTATTTTGAAAGATGTTATAACTTCTTACTCCGAATGTAAAGATTTACTATGTTCTTATTTCCTGAAAACTATTATTTTCTGGCTATCTGAAGAACTGCCTCAATCCGTATGGAAACCTGGTAATATCATACCATGTTTTATGCGATGTTTCAACAGGCTTGTTTATTGTGTGGAGAATTCAGTTTGTTTGCATTACTTCATACCAGAAAACAACATGTTCGAGAACAAAATAGAGGGCCGTGCTCGTGAAATACTTTTGGAGAAACTATATACCTTGCATAGCTATGGTTGGCGATGCATCTTTTTATCAAGTCAAATATCTAAGTTCGATGTTTCAATGTGGAATATTCCCATCGAACCTCAAACATTATATGTACAAGAAATTGACAAATTTATGAAATCCAAGTTATTGAATTCTGCATATATTGCACTACAATCGGTAAAATCAATCTTTAATAACAGAATAATACAGAGGTTTTCGTGTCAACAGTCTTCCTTAAAACACGTATATAAATACTGCATTTCAAATGTGTGTCATTTAGATGCTCAGTTTATAGCATTGGATAGGACATTATGTGAAAACAAATACCAATACATACAATATAAATCCTGTCTTAGTATTCTGTTGAGAAATGTTCACCATGACGTTGTATCTGGATGGCTGATGGTAGCTTCTTTTTTCTATAAGACAAAACAATACAATACAGCTTTACATTTTATAATCTATTCTGTATCGAAATGTACCACCGAAAAACTTCATCATTGCATGACTATGTCGGATATCCATATCCATCTGCTAAAACTGCAAACATTTCTAAAGAACAGTTTTGTTTGTTTGTTGAAAGTAATGTTTGTGGACAATGTACAGTTTGAGATGAATTCTACGTTAATACCAGATGAACTTCAAATGGACGAATCGAATAGAATACATCACTTTCCATCTGCAGCGTATGCTTATTTCCTGAAATTTCTTTGTCATTATCATCTCAATAATGTCAAACTATGTCAGAATTCCCTCCATGTTTTACAACTGATTGTAAAAGAAAATTTTTTGATAGCAGATATGCGTCATAAAGGAGAAGCCTTCAATCTTCTTGGAGTTGCTCTACATATATTTGGTGACAAGGAATCCGCACGAAAAGTATTCTTACATTCTGCTGAATATTTCCCGGATCATTTCAAATTTGCCGTAAGGAGACTTTTGTTAATGAATTGAACGTGACATGTGTGCATTTAAAAGAACACCCTTTAAATGGTGCTAGTGTACTTTTTTGTCAATCAGATAAAGTGACAGTATAACGGATGACAATATGATATTTTACGATACGATGTGTCCATGTCTCAGCTCACTAGCGACGTGTTTTCGCTCGCAGTTTTAGATCTTCAGATATATAGCAGTATTGCCGTCTAAACTGCAGTTTTATTGATTATGTCATATTCATATATGATTGTGACCAAATGTGAATTAGCAGAGTGGGCGATAAATGCAACGCACACCACCCGGTTTCGTTCCTTTTGGAATTCATGCGACTCCTTCAGTTTTTGTTTATTGTCTTTCGTTGTATCGTCCAAATAGATTTGCTGCTGTCAGTTTATTTTAGAATATATTTAAGAAGACATTTCGATAAGATATTGAATACGAAGCGTGTTGGTATATTTAAATACCTGTTGTAGTGCTGTAAAGCAGAGACATTTCCTAAAACAGAAACAAAGTTTTCTCTTTTTTAACTTTATTTCGATATAAAGAGTGCAGCTGTGTTAATATCATCATCGGCAGTAGGACAACCGGATGTGACTTTTTGGCCAAAATTGATTCGGTTGTGCTCAGTAGTCCTTAGCGCAAAATTGATCTATTTTGCGTCAGCCGACGTCAATTGAAAAACGGCGCGCTTTCGTTAACTTTTTGTCATTCGTTCAATACAAAGTACTGACGATAAAGATTGTTGATTATAAACAAGTTTATGAGAAAAATAAATGAAAATACGTATTATTGTCATGTTTATATTCTAAATTAACAGGAAATCTTTTTTTTTATATATCTGAATATAGAATTAAGGATTTTGATTTTATGTAATGTATATGTCCTCCCACCAATGGGTAACGCAACAAATTTAGTTTGAGACATTAATAATGTTAACTGTTAGTACCATATTGAAGCAGAATTGCCGGAATCGATCTCAACCGAAGTTGTATCAGTATATAGATCATCGTTGCGAATTTTGGCGCCAAAAATGTCAACATATGAGTTTAGCGTGACGTCCATTTTCACTTAACCAGTACACAATTTTATTTAGGGGCCAGCTGAGGACCACCTCCGGTTGCGGGATTTTCTCGCTGCGTTGAAGATCCATTGGTGGCCTTCGGCTGTTATCTGCTCTTTGGTAGGGTTGTTGTCTCTTTGACATATTCCCCACTTTCATTCTCAATTTTATAGAATTTCATTAAAAGTTGGAGCCTTATCTTCTTTTTAGCAATTTCTATCAAGAAAGTCATATTGAATCATATCAACATTTTACCAACAGCTAAAGGCCTACATGGGATTGATTAGTTGATAAATACACATCTCTGACATTGTCCTTCGTGAGTTTTAACATTACTGGCCGATTTGTTTTTAATGAACATCTACATTGAATATGTCAAAGAAAATTTTTCGTTTTTTTCCTGTTTTTTTTTGGTTATGTTGTCTGTTTGTTTTTGTTTTAAGGGTAGGGCTGTTTTAACATGTTTAAAATTAATATTAGGCAAAGGAGTGTGTCATTTAAGAGGCTCATGCTTCTTAAGTTCTGGTTTGCAGTGTATGTTTAAAATATCTGTGACTTTACTTTTAAAAATGAAACGACAGTATCTTAGGGGGACGACCATTTGATATTCTAGGTGGTAGAAGGGGGCTAGAAGGATTTTTTTTTGGATTTTATTTATTAGCATCTATTGCTACACATTTTTTTTTTCTAAATTTATTTTTTCTTTTGTATACATTTGTATCTTGATCTATCTTGCATTTTGAGATGCAGAACATACATGGTCATCTTTTTGTGTCAAATATTTTTTTAAAGTTCTTACCATGACAGGTTATTTATTTACAACATCCTTCTGACCTTCCCAACACCTTTTTCTCCCAAGAAAATTAAATTGTTGTCCCCTTAGGTGGCATCACTCGAATTCCGTCATAATTTTAGGAAACTACCATTTAATAATCTTACTTTTCTCGTGTTTTAACTTTGTCATTTCGTGGCCTTTTATAGCTTATTATGCGGTATTGGTTATGTTCATTGTTGACGGCTGTCAGTGACGTATAGTTGTAAAGCTCTACGTCATTGGTTATCTGGTTGGGAGTTTTCTCATTAGCAATCATCGCTCAAACCGGTGCTAGGGGCTATCTTAAACTTACACTGAGGTGAGAGTTTTTATTTTGCTCCGTGTTGAAGGCCTCACTGTGACTTTGAGAAGTAAAAACAGCAATAAAAGCGCTATGTCTTTGCTTTTTGTGTGTGTGTGATTTTTTTTTTTTTTTTGCTGTGCATGTACTTTTATGTAATAGATGAATACCTCATATCCTTTGTTTTTCAATTATACCACATCTTCTTATTTTTTTTTTATAATTGTAATCAAGTGAAAAGCTGGCCAACTGAAAGGGAAATATAGTTTTTTTAATAAGTAACTGCTTCCAAAAAAGAATTTACATAAAAGAAAAATCAATGAAATGTTTCAATGGATAGTTAGCCATTAGATTTATTTTTTTGTATGTTGTGTTGTGCACATATTTTTCCTTTTTATGGCAGGAGCTATGTTGTATGGTTATTTGCATCATAGGAATAAAGTAACTAAATTTTTTCGCTCAATCTCAACAACAGGGCATCTAAGGTGAAAGGGTGAACTAGGAGATCCATCAAATCATACTAGATTAATTATTACCTTAACTATGGAAAGACAGGAGTGAACTTATTTTATCAAATCTTGCCTTGTGATACAATTTCTTGAAAAAAGTAAAAAAGCAAAGTTAAGTTATTGTATAACTTTTGAGTACATGTTTAATTTTCCACGAATAAAGTCCAATAATTCTAGAATGACAATACTTGAATTTGTCAAAAGAAAAAGGAAGATTTCTTTCGTCCATCCTCATATTGTGTAATTATTTCGGGATAATGGGTTAAAGCATTAATTTAGAATTATTATATGAAGTGTTGACCAACTTATAATTGCATGGACAGACTTTTGTGTTTCATTAAACTTGTGCAGGATCGACCAAACTCGCAAACAATCAAGGGAAATTCATTCTGTCATACATTTCACTGTTCATGCTCTCATATTTTTGCGCCTGTGTAATTACAATAAAAACATAATAATAACCCATTAGCAATAGACGAGTGCAATAAATTAGATATGAACCTTTTATCGAACTGTAATTATTTAACTACATTTTTATGATATTTGATAATTGTTGTTTAACCAGTTATTCAAACGATATCAAAACAGAAGGAAGAGTTTCGAGAACGATTTGCCGATTATGACTCATCAATCTTTGAGTTGATTTGAAGCTACAATAGCGATAATAATTTTCTTATTCTTATAATATGAATTTCGAACTGATGGATTTTTAACTGAAGAGCTTTACTTTTTATACTGAATATTAAGAATCAAAACCTTGGCGGAGGATACCGGAAGTACAATTACAGTTTCATAAATTGAAAAACAGACAGTAAAACTAAAATACAAAAAGCAGCGTATAAAAAAAAACCATGGATAACTTAAGAACAAGAAGGTGAAATACCAATCCGAAGATGGTCTCAGTGCCCTGTTGTTAAGAATTGGCGTTAGTTAACGGACCAGTTAAGCCTAACAACTCATTAAAGTTTATCATTGTTGTAAGCCAGTCCAAAATGAATTTAACGACTGAGTTAACTATTAACTTATTAAAAAAAATAACAACTCTTAATTTTAATATTTCCCCATAATTCCTGTAGAAATAACCATTTTACCAATAATTCTTCAACTTCCTGTTTGAAAATGGCTGGAGAACAACCCCCAAAAATATATCCAAAATAAGAAGGCAGATCTTTTTATATATTGAGGTAAACCTACCTAGTAGGAGAGTGGTCGAGGAACTTATTTTGCTGAGAAAGAAATTTGGTAAAAACGTAACTTCAGGCGCAAAGAACAAAATGTGCGAGAAGATCACTAGAGAATTGAATGCTCTTGGTGTCAGAACCAAGTTTCGTAACCCAACAAGAGACCCAAATGAGAAGTCCGTTTTTTGAAAAAGAAGGAGAGTAACAGGACAGGAGGAGGACCTGCTCTAAAGCCCATCCATGTGGATGAGGAGAATATTATCAGTACTTTAATGGATACCTCTTCTTTCAAAGGCATTGATGAAGAGATGGAGACCTCATAAGGATAAGCCATCTTTGAGGCGACAGTTTATTTCTTTTCTTTGAGGTAAAACAGGTTCTTCCATGAATGCGGTCATATTTAACAACAACTACAACATTTAATCGACCTTTGAGATGTTGTTACAGTTAACAACTCTTTAACACTGCTTTTATCGGTATTGTTACCAACTTCAATAAATTTCACATAAAATATATAATAAGGACTTTCTTCTCGTCTAATATAATACTACTCTATTTATCTTTCGTCATCTTCGATAACTGCTTACTCTTTATGTCTCTTTATTTCTGAACAATCAGCTTACTAAAACTTTTCCCAACACGATGCATCATAATAAAAGTATATAAAACAGAATTTGTCATCTCAATCTTATATTGTTAGCCGGGAAACCCTACACACTCGTTTAATTTGTCAATTAATATATAAATGTAAATTTCATCTTTTTAGATAGCCTACATGGGCAGCCACGTGTAGGGTAAAGAAAGAACTTAAAGACTTCTGGCAAAATTTCAACAAATATGTGGGTGTTTTCAAAACAAGAGAACCAATCGGAATATCGGAAGAGGGTTACTGCAAAGCACAGTAAAATAATTGAGGAGTATAACTAGATAAAGAACATAAGTACGTCTCTGTGTTAGAAGCCTTTCATAATGGAAAAACATCTTCTAATGCTACCTTAGCTAGAAATCTTAATATTTTTTTTCCTTTAGAAATTTTAGACTATATATAGCCTCTGGTTTCAATAACCAGTTAACATAAGATAATATATAACTAGCTTCTTCAAGGGCATTTCACTTTCAGAGAAACACAGTTGTTCTTTAGAATTTTAAATGGTTAATTCAATAACCCCCAAAATTTGTTTGAACGTACCTTAAACTTTACTATTCCATCGATAAATATTTTGATGGAATGATTGCGAAAATCTAACATTATTACTGGTTCATAGAGATACTTACTGTGTATTATATTAGACTTGTGCTCATCTCTTTTACTCAGTTTAATTTAAATGAACCAAAATTTATTATTATAGCCTATTTTAAACAAAATTTTGACTAGCCCGTCGGACTACTGTGATGAAAACTTTACTAGCCCTCCCTAATTTTTACTAGCCTCGGGCTAGCGGACTAGCGTTAGTGTCGAACCCTGAATTATTAGGAAGAATTATTTTTAATTATGAAATTGCTGCTGTTCAATTCTATTAGATATTCTAATTGAAAGAAGAAACACGGCTAATTTTCCATGATGACTTTGTACCAGAATTTTTCAATATGAAATATTGTCTTTTTGTGAATACGAGCTTTTAAAATTATTTTGGTTTAAAATAATAAAAAAAAAACAACATTTTTTTACCAAAAGGATTACCTGTTAAGTAAAAAGCATATTATAATAGATGTCTTCTTGATTTTTTGTTTGTAAGCATTCGTGGTCTTCTAGAAGAATTGTCATCAATTGTTTACATCGGAGTATGGTTCATTTGAAAAAAATTCAAAAAGTGTCAATTACTACTGCAATTGATTGTACTTTCTGATTATAGACTTGTTCATTATATTTATGAAGAATTGATTTTTCCATTGATGTAAACAGTCGGTAAAGAAGTCAATTTAGATTGGTATGCAATCGCTAGTGGGAATTTCATTCTCAGAAAAACATTTTAAATCATTTTAAAACAAAACATAGTTTTGAAATTCTATCTTTATTTGAATTTATAATTATGATTAAATTTACCAGATCTTTTCCTTTGAGTTAAAAATAGTAAGGTATTCGCAGAAACATTGCAAAACATTTAAGTGCTTCAATTTGAAAAAAAATGAATAAAGATGCAACCCTTATCAAAGTATTGTATCGACAAATTCATGCATCCGTTAATTCAAATGATAATAATGTATTATTTTCATGTATCACTCATATATTATTTAAGCATATCGAATGAATTATAATTACATGTATTGTTTACAGATCTAAGGATTTGGAGTAGTTTTATTGCATGAGATCACACTTTTTATAGTTGGAAATATTTGTCAACTTCAGAGATGATATTTGTGTTTTTCATCTAAACTGTTGTATGCCGGAAGGTCTCCAATAATCTCTCTCACGTCTTGCAGGAGGCATGACTGCCCCTACTACTAATATTATGCAGCATCAAGTCTTTACACTGTACCTTTATGATACTTAATATAAACTCAATTCTAATCTCCAGTCACTGCACACGATAGCTACAATAATAAACCATTTCACGATGAATGCCGGGCATGCACAGAAACGCTTCCGGAAGGCAACATACTTGTATTGGATACCAACATGGCGACCCGCGAAAGTTTGAACAAATTACATCTAAGCTCGATAAAGGTTTTTGCGACAGAACATGAAATAGAGGTTGAAATTTAAAAGAAGAAAAAAAAATAGCATTCTTTCAGAAATTCTGACGACACAAGTAACCTCCTCTGTTCTTACACCTACCATAAAACAGTCGGTTCAAGGGGATGATGCGATGATTCCCAGTAATGAAAATGAGAACCTCCCGCCCTTCAACAGTGTTATATACTTTTTCGGACCGAACCAAATGTACTAGTACTTCAACTTACTATATTACTTTCTGTTGAGATGTGCATATCTCGCATGCTCCTGTTGATTCAACTTCTATGAAATGCCGTTTTTACAATGAAGTCATCACGATATGTGCTCCATTATCTGCTGTATATAGTGCTGATGAACAACATAGAACGTAGCAACTTATTTGACCAGTAAGAGCTAGATAATAGTAGGCATGCTTTATTAAAAATTGATGGTGCCTTTGGTGGTACAAGTCTAAGATGGTATACCAAAAGCAACGACGATCAGATTTGCGGTCATGCCAACACTTCAGTCACTGTAAGCCAGTTTCGAAAACTAAAACCGGAATCATTTGTTCATGTGAGGACTGTGGCAGTAATGGTAACCCCAGAGAGATTTTATCCAGTTCCTTCTTTATGCATAAGTGAAAGAAAGTAATCTAAAACACAAACACATTGATTGATATGGCCTTTCGCAAGATCGCGTCTTCCAGAAATTAGAGTGCAAAACAGTATGTTTACGAAAATCGAACAGCACAGCTGGAGTGTACAAATGTTTAGGTACAGGCGTAACGGCAGCAGTGTTTGAAGGTCAAGTTGCTTTACACAATTTGGGTTTGATAAACGTTGCAATAGAACTGTTCAAGGGACCATTCGAACACCTTGAAAGGATTTATGCGGAAGCAGGGTTACGAAGGATATGAGAACCAACAGGAATGATACTTACACTGTTTGGTAATACACAAAAAAAAATCTGATGGAAACCCACCTGGAATTGTGCAAGAGTTAATACGTAGCTCACTAGCTCTCCAACAACTTATTGTAGGAAGATCTCTTTTTTAACAAACAAAAATGGTTTAATATTACATATCAACTAAAATTTGGTTTAAAATCTATGAACGAGCGCGGTGTCTAGATCAATGACTTAAATATTTCATATCAACTAAAATTTGGTTTAAAATCTATGAACGAGCGCGGTGTCTAGATCAATGACTTAAAGTCGGACAACATTTTAATCAATATCAGCACAGACGATTGTCGATTAATCTTCATTGACATAGGTCATTCTAGCTTTGTGCGCGGAAAGAGATTTCTAATGACAAATGAACAAGATCGTGTACACGGACATCTTGCACCTGAAGTTACAAAAAAAAAAAGGAAACTCTGAAACGTCCGAAGTCTTTGCACTTGGTGTGATTTTTAAAGATATACATTTAGAACTCTGTAATATTACTTGTAAATGTTTATTTACAATTCATTTACCGAGACTTCTTTATGAAATACTCAATTTTGTGGAAGAAATAATGTGACTTTAAGTTTTGTCATTTTATATATCATTGTTATTATTATTATTATCATTGTTATTATTTGATTGTTTACTTGCTTAATCGTGATTATTTCTTGTTTAAATAAATTAAAATAGGCATCGATCATTTGCATCTTTGGGAAGGATGGCTTTTTTCATTGTACAAACAACTATTTTCAACGATTGACAAAATTTTTTAAAATCAATGTTGATTTTACCTATTTTTCATAATTAAGTTAATTTGAAGATATTTGAAATGATTTTTTTCAAACAATTTCTTATCCCCCATAAAAGATGAATATTAGGCGCCTTATTGCTACTCATCTCTGTTTCTGTGTTATATTTCTGACTGATCCTGTTTAGTGGTCCTATCAGATACGTTCAAAAGTAGTGGTTCTTGAAATATATCTTTCATGAAGGTACAGTTAAACAAAAGTCAAAAAGACAACAGAACGTGTACCTCTTGTTATTACCTTTACCGACCTACTACCAGATATACAATTCATATTGTACATACTTACTGAACAATTGGTGGTGGAGGTACTGTTTTAAAGTAATTAATAATGTGTGGTATTTGCCCACACATTTATATAAACAGTAGATTTTTATTTCACTTCGGGTTTATTAATTTTGTTTTGACAAACCGAAAGAAGAAATATTTGTGCATGATTTAAAATCATAAACTAATGGACAGCAGTCCTTCCATTAAAATTTTGCACACACTACTATGCAAAAATGTTAACATTTTGGAGTTAGTTTTATTCTATAGTGTTTTCAAAACATAGTCAAGGCACAAACTTGTTGAAATGATATGCCACTTTATAAAAAAAAAATAGTTAAAGCTGGCATCATATTTTTCTAAAATTCAAATGACTCCCCCCAGCTACCTGTGTTTTCAAATTTTTCATTGTAATAAATCTATCATAATTATTATTTTTATGATTTTTGTTATAAAGTTATGTGGTTAAAAACTGTGCATGTTGTTTGATTTGATGTTTGTTACTGCATCTGTATCAGGAAAACATTTCTTGGTTCCATTAAGTGTTGTATTGTTCTGTCCAAGTTAAGAGAACGGTCAGCTGTATGGCGTGGGTCAAAGGACTTGAATGTGTAATAATTAGTCTCCAATGTAGATGCATTCCCTTCCTTTCCTCAGAAGTGAATTTAGATTGGTTTGCAATCGCTAGTGAGAATTTTATTCCCACAAAAACATTTAAAATCATTTTAAAACAAAACATAGTTTTGAAATTCTATCTTTATTTGAATTTATAATTATGATTAAATTTACCAGATCTTTTCCTTTGAGTTGAAAATAGTAACGTATTCGCAGAAACATTGCAAAACATTTAAGTCCTTCAATTTAGCAAAGTTTGCAGAGGAGATTATTTTTGTCACTAGATTTTCCACTGATACATGATTTATGATAAAGTCAATCCAAATGTTATTTGTAATGTGAAATTCCATGTGAGTGTCGTGTATTTTTCAATAAAACACTGCATTCATATAAATTGAAACACATAACATATTTGTGTCAATCAAGATAAAATATATCATATGTAAAAGGAATTATTATTCTTTGGAACATGTTATTTAGCCTTTTAAGTATAAAGTTGTACCGCTTTCTCCAAAATCACTGCATTCACCGTTCAGCTTAAAACTTTGAACTGATCCCAATCGCATTTATTATGCGAATTATTGGTGATTTTACTTAGAAATATAATCTTCATACTACAATGATTACACATTAATATAATTTGCACTGGAAAGGACATGTATATGTACTGTACTTTTAGCTTAATCTAGGGTACTTAAAAATCAATACTTGATTTTAAGAAAACAAGTTTTCTCAGGATATGTTGTTGCTATATATCATTTATATGAAATATGCAAGGCCTTCCTAGAAAAAAGAATCCATAAGCTTAAAATTGCAATTGTCGTTAGTGAAAAAAATTAATGAAGATGCAACCCTTTTCTTCGACAATTTCATGCAACCGTTAATTCAAATGATACTAATGTATCATTTTCATGTATCCCTCATATATCATGTATATTATTTAAGCATATCGAATGCAATATACTATGTTCTTATACATGTTATACTTATATGTATTGTTTACAGATCTTAGGATTTGGAGTAGATTCATGGGATAAGATCATACTTTTTATAGTGGGAAATATTTGTCAACTACAGTGCTGATATTTGTGTTTTCATCTTAACTGTTGCATGCCGGAAGGTCCTCAATAATCTCTCACGTCTTGCACGAGGCATGACTGCCACTACTACTACTATTATGAAGCATCAAGTCGTTACACTGTACCTTTATGATACTTAATATGAACTCAATTCTAATCTCCAGTCACTGCACACGATAACTATAAAAATGAATTCTTTCACGATAAATGTCGGGCATGCACAGAAACGCTTTCAGAAGGCAACATACTTATATTGGATACCAACATTGCGACCCGCAAAAGTTTGAACAAATTATATCTAAGCTAGATAGAACATGAAATAGAGATTGAAAAGAAGAATTACATAGCTTTCTTTCAGAAATTTTGACGACACAAGTACCCTCCTCTGTTCTTACACCTGCCATAAAGCATTCGGTTCAAGGGGATGATGTGATGATCCCCCGTAATGAAAATGAGAACCTCCCGCCTGTCAACAGTGTCATATATTTTTTGGACCAAACCAAATTTTCCGAATTGAAATGCGGCCAAATCTACGTTTTTATGGTCACAAGACCAACTTATTCTGGCTAAACTACACAAAACTTCAAGGGCCTGGACAAAGCAGTGCAGCACTTCGATGTTGATGACATCCAAGAAGTAGGAATGGCACATGCAATGAAAATTCTGCATGATACCTGTAGTCACAACAAAACTTATTGCTTATGATATTACAGAGTCGTTTACGTGTACCCAGAAGGGGAAGGGGGTCTTAACAACGACACCAACGACAATTCCTCTACAACCTCTGATCTTACATAAACCAACGACAATTCCACTTCAACCTTTGATCTTGAATTTTCCACGGACAGTCCCACGTCCACCTCTGGTCTGTCCCGGTCAAACGAAAATTCCACTTCGAACTTTGACCTATCTGTATTGATTAATGCACTCGTACTTCAACTTACTATAGTACTTTCTGTCGAAATGTGCATATCTCACCTGCTTCTGTTGATTAAACTTCTATGAAATGCCGTTTTAAAATGAAGTCATCACGATATATGCTCCACCATCTGCTGTATATAGTGCTGATGTATCAACATAAAACGTAGCAACTTATTTGACCAGTGAAGAGCTTAATAATAGTAGGCATGCTTCATTAAAAATTGATGGTGCCTTTAGTGGTACAAGTCTAAGATCAGACATGCGATCATGTCAACACTTCAGTCACTGCAAGCCAGTTTCGAAAACTTAAACAGGAATCATTTTTTTCATGTTAGGACTGTGGCAGTAATGGTTACCCCAAGGAGATTTTCTCAAGTCCCTTCTTTATGCATAGGTGCAAAGGAGGAGTTGAAAACACAAACAATTGATTGATATGGCCTTTCGCAGGATCGCGTCTTCCAGAAATTAGAGTGCAAAACATTATGTTTAAGAAAATTGAAAAGCACAGCTGGAGTGTATAAATGTTTAGTTACAGGCGTAACGGCAGTGGTGTGTGAAGGTCAAGTTGCTTTACACAATTTGGGTTTGGAAAACGTTACAATAAAACTGTTCAAAGAACCATTCGATAACCTCGAAGGGATTTATGTGGAAGCAGGGTTACTAAGTACTAATGATATGAGAACCAACAGGTGTCACACCTACACTGTTTAGTATTACACAACAAAATCTACAGGACACCCACCTGGAATTGTGCAAGAGTTAATACCTAGCTCACTAACTCTCCAACAACTTATTGTGGGAAGATCTCTTTTACAACAAACAAAAATGGTTTAATAGTGAATATCAACTTACGTTTGTTTTAAAATCTATTAACGAGCGCGGTGTCTTGACAAATGCCTTAAAGTCAGACAACATTTCAATCAATATCAGTACAGACGATTGCCGATTTACCTTCATTGACATTGGGCATGCTAGTTCTGTGCGCGGAAAGAGATTTCTAATGACAAATGAACAAGCTCTTGTACACTGACATCTTGTACCGGAAGTTACAAAAAAAGTGTTTATGCTTGGTGTGATTTTTAAAGATATACATTTAGAACTTTCTAATATTACTCGTAAATGTGTATCTACAATTTATTTACCATGTTTACCGAGACCTTCTCTTTATGAAATACTCAATTTTGTGGAAGAAATAATGTGACTTTTACTTTTGTCATTTTGTATATCATTTTTATTATTTTCATTATTATTATCATTGTTATTATTTGTTTGTTTACTTGCTTAATCGTGATTGTTTCTAGTATAAATAAATCAAAATAGGCAATGACCATTTGAATCTTTTGGAAGGGTGGCTTTCTTCATGGACAAACAACTATTTTCAACTTTTAACGAAAAAGATTTTTTAAAATCAATGTTGATTTTACCTATTTTTCATAATTAAGTTAATATTGAAACTACACTCCTGAAACCTTTTTTTTTCTAACAATTTCTCATCCCCCATAAAAGATGAATATTGGGCGCCTTATTGCTACTTATCTCTGTTTCTGCATTATATTTCTGACTGAAACTGTTTAGTGGTCCTATGAGATACGTTCAAAAGTGGTGGTTTATGAAATATTTCTTTCATGAAGTTACAGTTAAACAAAAGTCAAAAAGACAACAGAACGTGTACCTCTTGTTGTTACCTATACTGACCTACTACCAGATATACATGACATTGTGAAATTGATATTGTAAATACTAACTGAACAACTGATGGTGGGGTACTGTTTTAAAGTAGTTAATAATGTGTGGTATTTGCCCAAACATTGATATAAACAGTAGCTTTTTATTTCCCTTCGGATTTATTAACTTGTAGTGACAAACTGAAAGAATAATATTTGTGCATGATTTAAAATCATAACTTAATGGACAGAAGTCCTTCCGTTAAAATTGTGAACACACTACTATGCAATAATGTTAACATTTATGGGTTAATTTTATTCTATAGTATTTTCAAAACATAACCAGCGAGGCACAAACTTGTTGAAATGATATGCCACTTTATAAAAAATAGTTAAAGTTGGACCAAATTTCCAAAGCTGGCATCATATTTTCGTAAAATTCAAATGGCTGCCCTAAACTACCTGTGTTTTGATATTTTTCATTGTAATAATTTTATCAGAATTATTATTTTTAATATTTTTGTTATAAAGTTATGTGGTTAAAAACTGTGCGTGTTGTTTTATTTTATGTTTGTTACTGCGTCTGTATTAGGAAAACATTTCATGGTTCCATTAAGTGTTGTAATGTTCTGTCCAAGTTAAAGGAACGGTCAGCTGTATGGCGTGGGTCAAAGAACTTGAATGTGTAATAATTAGTCTCCAATGTAGCTGTATTTCCTTCCTCAGATGACCAAACCAACTTTGGTTTCTTTGTTGTCATTTAAAAAATGTGAAAAAAAGTAAAATAACAAAAAAAAACCGAACTCCGAGGAAAAATCTAAACCGAAAGTCCATAAACGAATGGCAAAATCAAAAGCTCAAACATATCAAACGAATGGACATCAACTGTCATATTCCTGACTTGGTACAGGCATTTTCATATGTAGAAAATGGTGGATTAAGCCTGATTTAACAGCTAGCTAAACCTCTCATTTGTATAACAGTTGCATAAAATTCCATTATATTGACAACGATGTGTGAACAAAAGAAATAGACATAATAGGTAAAATTGTCAAAAATGGGGGTACAGCAGTCAACACTGTTTTATAATCCTAATAACTATAAAAAACAAACAAATATGTCAATAACGCACACAAGAAACACTATATTCCATTAATTTGACAACAATCTGTGAACAAAACAAACAGACATAATAGGTAAAAATGTCAAAAATAGGGTACAGCAGTCAACATTGTGTTATAATCTGAATCACTATTATAACAAACAAATATGTCAACAAAGAAAATCAAAGAGACATATAGACAAAGCACAAAAGCAAAAACGAAAGACAAGAATACAAAAATTTACCATAGCACAACACAATGACGGGATGTATAAGTACCGAACCACGTCAAATGGATATTACCAAAAATAGACCAAACAGTAAATGAAATAATTTACAAAGACAAATAAAAGAACACTATAACACGTAATTAAGATGATAAACAACGTCAGTACCTAGAATCTATACTTCAAGACCATAGTGTATTATTTGTGAAGTTGATACGGAATATTTATCAACAACGTCTTGGTATCTTCCGATGAACTTTTTTAGAAAAAGGACAAGACGTTCTTTGACGTAACCCTGGTTCTTAAACTTTTTGCTTACACACTGGTAACGTATAATAAAGTCTGAGTAGCAGCTGCAAGCTCTTTGACACCGAATGAGATTGGAAATGTATATCCCATATGCAGGTGCAGTTGGTATATTGCTACAAAGGTGGGGGGAATTGATAATTTCAAAATTAAAATAGTCTCGTTTTTCATAGATTCTTGTACTTAGATGAGGGCTTATGTCAAGTTCGAGATTTAAGTCTAAAATGGAGGCAGAGGAAGCCGTGTTTGTTGTTTCTTTAATTTCTAGTTCTGAAGGATATGATAATGGATCCCAGTCAGAAAAATTTGGATTGTTAATTGAAAAAAAAAAACCGTCAATATATCTGAATGTGAAATTAAATGATCTGGCTTCTTTGATTTTCTTGTTTTTGACAAGTGTCTGAAGAAACTCTTATTCATACGAAAATAAGAGGAGGCCGGCAAGGCGAGGCGCACAGTTCGTTCCCATAGGAATGCCGACAACTTGTTGAAAAAGTGTACCTCCAAATTCAACAAATATGTTGTCATAGGTAAAATAAAAAAAATACCGAATTCAGTTTGTTGTGAGGTTCGTGTTGCTCAGTCTTTAGTTTTCTCTGTTGTGTTTTGTGTAGTAATATTTGTCTGTTGGACTTTTTTAGCCATTGCGTTGTTAGTTTATTTTCGACTTATGAGTTTGGATGTCCCTCTGGTATCTTTCGCCTCTTTTTAACTAGTTATGCAACTAATATCATTAAGGTTGAATAACAATTAAGGAAGGTCATTTTCTAAGTACATATAACAATAAGAAGCTGTGGTATAATTGCCAGTGATACAACTCTCAAGAAGAGACCAAATGACACAGAAACTATCAACTATAGGCAACCGAACGGGCTTCAACAATAAGCAAAGGCCATACCGCATAGGCAGGTACAAAAGGGCATGAAATGACAAATGTATTTTAATTCAAACGAGAAAGCTAACGGCCTGATTTATGTACAAAATAATGAAGAAACAAGAAATGATTGTAACAGGATGCTGTTACGAAGTCTCCCAAACGAAGCTCCCATAATTCGTAATTCCCAGGGTCGCCTGACATTGGGCAACGTCCAGTGAAAATTGGTTTGGTCCAGTAAAGTTATATGCATTAGTGATGCCTGGGGACTAACCTTGTATATCATTCAAATCATCTTGGCAAGACAAACCAGAATATATATGGTTTAGGGGTGGGGATCTCGACCATTTACAAGATACTAGAATATTGGGGGTGGGGAGGAACCCCTGGGGACTGGCCCTATACGTCATTCAAGTGTTCATTACATGACGAACAGGAATATATATGGTTTAGGGGTGGGGATCTAAACCATTTACAAGATATTAGAACTTTCTCAAATGGCAGGGGGTCGGGATGACCCCTGGGGACTAGCCCTGTATATCATTCAAACCATCTTCGCATGACAAACCAGAATATATATGGTTTAGGGGTGGGGATCTTGACCACTTAGA